CCCAAAACCCCAAAACCCCAAAACCCCAAAACCCCAAAACCCCAAAACCCCGGGAGTGAGATAAGTTTGACATATGATGACTTTGGATGATGACGTGAATGTCAAATTAATATTAATCAAATATCTTTAATTAATTCCTATATGTACTCAGGGACATAAAATGCGATGTGTTAGAAACCAATTTAGCTGCTTCCTCCAGACTGCATCTACTCCTCTTGTCTAATCTTTTCTACTTAATACTATAAATTAACCAAGTCTCTTGTTGAGTCTTTGTCTAATTTCATATAACCTACTGCTTTTTTAATTTCATACTCATCATATGTAGTAGTATTAAAGTTTCCTTGAAGACATCTAACATAGCTTTGTCTATCATAGAAGGGATTCGCAATGAACCATTCAACAATATTTTTACTACCTAGCATTTCAGACACATTCTTGAAAATGTTTGACTTTGTGTAATAGGATTTTCTTTGACTTGGTACTTAAAGCTAGTAGTACTCAGCCAATGTGTGTAAATTACTAAGCTAACTCATTTCCACTTATTAGGTGTTTTTAATACAATTGGAGAATGAAAACGACAGCACATTATATGCATGCTGTATTGTAATTAGATTGTGAATTAATAGTAGTATGACCATTCCACCTTTTGTTTTGCTATATACCAATATTTTCATTTCGTAAACTGAACTTTTTAGGTTTATGTAAATTGATATTCCCATAAACTATAGAGGAAAGGGTAAATTAAGAAGTTAAGTACCAAAATGGCAGCGAGAAGGTAAGCAATGTAAAAATGGTAGTTATTAATGCCAATGCAATTAATTGTAAGTCTGCAATGATGAATGTATTTCAAACAGCATTTATTACATACTGAGCAATGATGCATCCTTGGCAATTTAAACACTGAACATTTTTAGCAATACTTGAATCTTCTGGTGTCTTCAAATGTTGAATTGATCACCTCAATAGGTGTGAAATAGTTCTTGAATAAGATTTCTTCTGCTTTGTTTTCAAACTTAGGCTGATAATTAGGACCATTTGCTTTGCATTTCTCTAGGATTTACTCCATCTTATAAAACTACATATTAGTTTGATTAAATCTTCACCAAAAAATTTGACGTGGATTATGGCTAAGCTTACGGCTGAGTTTACTTACCCTTTGATTTATGATTCTCTTATGATGATCATTTAAATTTCCAGGATTTGAGAAAACTATCGAGAAATAGAGTACTAATACATAAGCAGAAGTTAAGTAGAACCATATATTCTCTGGTTCACCCTCTATTTTGGTGACGTAATGTGTCATGAGCACAGTGTAACAAAAAGAAAACTAGGCGAAAAAAAATTCTATGCCTAATTTCTTTTTTCCAACTATAATATAAGTCATTTATTAAATTAAAATAATCGTATATTGCTTACACAAATTTATTTCTTTCGGGGTTTTGGGGTTTTGGGGTTTTGGGG